TAGCGCTCGATCTGAGCCTTAGAGCCATAGTGACTGATATAAGGCATTACAATCTCAGAGTGGAGAGAGAACCCAGGACCACTGCAGTTACAGTACATTCTACAACACAAACAGAGCCAGAACACCTGCTACATTACAACACACAAAGACAAAGGAAAAACTCAATACAATCAGGGTGGTGCACCATTCAGAAGCGAATTGCATTTTAAAATTCCAGGCCTGAATTTTAATTGAGGCAGCATGAAGGACACACAATTGCAATGCAAGTTTTACTTTAAAGGAAGTAGAGTTACAATGGAATCATTAAAAACATAACATATGACTGCTGTACGTATAAATCATATAATTTCCAAAAACATATCCTGCCGATTACATGCATTTCAAGAAACATTAGATGGTATTCATATCAATAATCAATGCTTGGAAATGTCACCTGTACAAATATATTTTAATATAGATTTAAAAGAATGATATTTAATAAATAAACTTTCATTTATGTCAGCATCTAATAATCAATATTCATATTCCTATATGTCCATATTCCTAATATATCTATTACATTTTCTTTCGTTATTATTTTAAGTTTCCGGAATATAATATTTAGGACATTTTGTGGTGTTTGTTTTGTTTTGTGGGGGCAAATTTAAAATTTGTATTGATAACTGGTAATTATTTTGACTTTTCTTTATTTTAAAAAAACAAAACAAAACAAAACACTTAATATTTATTTATTTTGTGTGCTAATTTGAAGACAAAGAGACATGAATCTTAGATTTATTATCAAGCAAAAAAAATAAAATTCCCCTTCCCACGCCCAAAACAAGGCATCTGTGGATGAGAGAACGTTGTCCTGCACCACTTCACAGATGATAAGTGGAAGGAAGGAGAATTTTAGAAAGATATTTATGAATGTCTTAAAAGGTAAAGAACTATAGCCAAGTCTATTTTAAGGTGTTCATTCGATTCCCAGAATGCAGCATGCGGAGCTCCAGCATGGGAGCTCGTTCTGTGCATCAAACATCATTATACCATTTCTATGGCATTGCACATGTGTTCTGGTTTCGGATTTGGGCAGTTCATTCCGAATGACGTGGTTATATGTGACTTGTTTTATTCGGACTGGGCTACTAGTCTGATTACAAACAGATTATTAAGGTCCATATAACAACTGTTTACACATTTTAAAATTAAGAATTTTTCCCAATCTACTGTAGGGTCAGACAGGTAGGGGAAGTGTTACTGTGACAGGTGAGGGCAGGGTTACTCACTGCTCCTCCCACACGATATTAGCCGACAGGAGGTCTCCTCCGATTCCTCCATGCTCCTCAGGTGTATATATTCCCAGCAATCCGTGTTCTCCAGCCTTTTCCCAAACCTCTCTGCTGACCTCACCAGCCTTCTCCCATCTATAAGCAAGCACATGCACATACATTTAAGACTGTACCACATTTTCATCCTGTATCTATTACATCTCACAATCAGGATGAGATGGTTCGAGAAAGACAAACTGGTGACTTACTGTGTGTGATATGGAACAACTTCCTCTTGAAAGAAGCGCCGCACATTCTGACGGAACAGGTCGTGTTCCTCAGAGAAGATCCGTCTGGTGCCGATGTCCATCAGGGTCTTGGCAATGGATGTTTCAGGTCGAAAAGGTGCTGCAGTTTCCCCATGCTGGAGCTCCGCATGCTGCATTCTGGGAATCAAATTAACACCTTAAAATAGACTTGGCTATAGTTCTTTAAATATTAGAAATATATTACATATTATAAATATATTTTTTCCTCTGATTTAATATTCAACCACATTTGCATACTATTGCATTTATGTGGCACAACGGTCCATATACAGAAAAGCATGATAATACTACTTTTGGTACTTTTTTGTAAGTGTAATATTCCTCAAAACGTTCTATTAATTTGCATTCTAATTTCATTCGTAGGAAACACCAGTGCCATTTGAAAATGCACATATTAACACTGATTAACCCGTTTTGTTTGACAAAAAAGCTATTTCTAACAATTCAGGATGTGACGTTAACCAAACCACCATGAGGTGATTTACTTTTGACCCCTTTCCATAATTCTATTTAAAGCTATACTTTATGTTTCATTATGATAACATAAACTCAACATGTCTGATGAAAGTGGTGCCCCAAGTAATATTGAAAACTACTGCAAATACATAATTTAGGGGAAAATGGATCGGTACAGATTATTTTCTGAACTGTAGAAGATTAGTCATTTTAACAGGGAAGAAAAAAATACTGTTATTTGGTCAACTATGTTGACTTACCATATAAAATAAAGATTATACTATATTTTACCAGACAATATATATTGTTTTAGAGGTACAGTACTGATTTAAGCTTATTTTATTTACAGTAAAGTTATAGTACAACACCTACCTATTTTATTAATAAATGTATTACGGTTTTGATTACAAGTAAAACAATTTTTTATTTTTTTTTACTATTTGTCTGTGTGAATTTTTAATTAATGTAGCCTATCACAGAATTTCTCTGAAGATAAAACATCAAAGAAAATGAAATTTATATGGAGAAACTGTTAACTGAGACCAATAAAGAAAATGACTCACCTAGACATAGTCACGGCAAAAGCCTGTTTACTCCGCAAATAAACATTTTTAGTCGCAGGAGAAAAACTCCTTATTGTCTTAAGTGCAAACATACTGATAGTGGAGGTGATCGACTCGAATGCTGCAGCTAAATTTTTGACAGGTCGAAAACTGTCCGTGAACTTTACTCTAGTTACTGAAAATCACTTCCGTCTAAAACAATACATGAAGGCAACATGTCAAAATAAGAGTCTGATCACATGAATGGTGTTGGTAACATTAAATTTGAAGCATGACTGTAATTCACTATATGGATAATGGAAAACACGTGTATTCAATTTTCTAAAAAGTAAAATTAAATTAAATTCACATTTATTTGTATAGCACTTTTCACAATGCATCGTTTTAAAGAAGCCTCACAGAAAATGCATGTGTCTACATTAAATTTCAGAGTAATTTGTTATCAGAGCCAGAGGTAGACTATCTGTGTACTAGTAAGCTAATGTCAATATGTCAGAAGTTCTAAGATAAAAAAATAAATAAAAAAAATGCAGCTAACCTAACTAACTTCATATATTCATGTTGCAGAAACAATGATCTCATTAAGGCAGATCTTACACGTTGTGTGGTATAAGTACAGTATTTTTACAGATGTATTTTGAATGTTTTCTGACACCAAAATATTTGCCAATACAATCTAACATTTGAGGTAAATTTCCCCGTTTTTCCATCAACTTGAAGCTTGCTCACTAAACCTTGCTGGTTTGATAGATGCAAAGTGACTTGTAAATGAAAGCATTTCTTTTTAATTCAGTATGACTTGTAGGACGAACATAATCCATTTCTCTCAAATCTCTGTCCACCCTTCTAGAAAGACATCAGTGACCTCTACAGGACACTAAAAATAAACAACCAAAAATTAAACACAACCAACAATATATAGCCTGTATATATATATATATATATATATATATATATATATATATATATATATATATATATATATATATATATATATATATATATTACAAATAAGCAATTCAAATGAAAGAACTATCAAGAGATTCTTGGGTGTGTTTATTTTTAGTATATATATATATATATATATATATTGTGTGTGTAGTCTTTTCTTTAAATTATTTATATAATATATCTATTTCTAAAAATAATTGTGTAGACACAGAATCTTCGTGTCATCTTTTATCCTAAAATACTGAATGAAGAAAGAAAAGACTGTTTGTTTTATCAACGCTGCATCATTGAGTTATCATCAGCTTGAATAATGATAATGATTAGAACCTGCATTACTTCAACAAGAAAAGTCTTATCTTCCTAATGATGTGGAAACTGAAGCATGAGTGTCACAGGCTGAGAGACTGATGCAGTGCAGAACATGTGGATCAGCGCTAATGAAGAATCAGAACAAAGAGCCTGTTGTTTTCCGACTCACAGAGAAGAGTCGACTGAACTCTGTCCCACTTTCACAAATAGGCACAGTGCCATATCAAGACATAGGCCTACAAAGTGAAATCAATCTGAGGTCATGCCTTGATCAGTAAATAAATATTATAAATGTGCCAATGACAACTGAAACAGAACATGCTCTGGAACTGTGAAAATCTGCGTTAGTGTGTGAAAATAAGATATTGACATGATTAGGGTGGGTGAAAACAGAACCTCTCTTGTGAATTAGACACAGTACCCACAAACCTTGTGTAATACCCACACAGTTTCACAGAGGTGAAAGAAAAAATTATCCTATATGGTAGGTAGAAAGACATTAAGAATACACTGACAAACTTGAAACGACTGTACCATTAATTTCAAGTGCATTTTTATATTGATCTAATAAAAAATCATGGTTTCAAACTGTTTTGTTTATTTTTTCTTACAGTATTACATTGAATCGCATCGCGTTGAATCGAATCGAAATCGGATCGCATCGCAATAGTAGTGAATCGTATTGCATCGCATCGGTAGTATGCTTCTTATACTGTCTATGGTAGTATGCTTATATGTATCTTTAATGTATCGTATCGTTGGCAATGCATCGAGATGCTTTTCGCATCGGCCTCATGGAGATGCACATCCTATACAGCGGCCCCTGGTGTAAACAACGTGTGTGTGTGTGTGTGTGTGGCGCCCGCGCGGTTGACTGTAATTGGAGTGTGGCTACTTAAATTTGTTCACGAAAATGTCTTACAATTTAAGGATAATTTCTTAATATATAGCAACAAATCAATCAGTCCAATAAAAACAATCCAGTGAACGAAGGAAGTTTTAATAAAGTGTAAAGCTAGTTTGCCATCATCACTGCTCGACTGTCACGCGCCGGCTCGCAATCGCATCATTCTAAATTTCAAAAAGAAATAACGGATACTTGTAACCGTATCTGCGGCAGTTGTTCAATGCTCCCAGTCGCGATGAGTGAAAATAGCGTAAGTGGTCTGGCAAAAACACGCTTGTCGTTGTCGGAAGTTAAAGACATCGAAAAAGGACGATCAATGTGTGACGATGAAGGTGAAACCCACCGCTGGGTCATCCACCCACGGACTCATTTCAGGTAACGTTAACGTTAACACAGACTCACTACTAGCCTCCCTCATGGAAACTAACGCTCACCATGGCATATTTCATATTAACCAAGCTAAATCAGTTAATTATTCAGCATCAGCTAGTAATTAGAAGTGTGATCGTTGTAACGTAATTATATATAATATATATATTATGACGTCTTATTTGATCTCAGTTAATTAAGAGTGAACATGAATGACAGACAATAACTGATTACACTGAACAAATATTTTTTGTAATATCTTACAAAATAGACCGAAAGCTTGGCGATTAAAATTGCTTTAAAGGATTCAAGTGTGCAGACAGTTTATTTATTTTCTGAGTTGTAATATCTTAATAAAATCAAACAATTTAAATACATATTTCACATTCACATTTGTAATACATGCTATTAAATTTAAATACATATAAGTAATATCAAATGTAACGATGACATTAAAAATGTTAGACTTGCAATTGAAATGAATACATAACGTATTCTACTAATGATACTATGTGATATGTACCATGTTTTTTTGCATGGTAATTCAAGGTATAAAGTCTTCATCACTATTTATTTAATAAATACATGTTGTCATCAGGATGTAATGTCTTATGTCCAATGTGCCATTAGTGCCATCACAGTGATCTAAAAAGAAATGTTAACATTTGCCTTTTTCTGTCTTTTAGGCACTACTATCTTGTGTATATGGTGGTCTTAACATTTGTGAACCTTATAACAATTCCTCTGGACATGGCATTTTCTGATGATATGCATGGTAGTGCCCACAAATACTGGGTGGCTTTCAATGTCTACTCAGACCTCATGTTTTGTGTTGATGTCGGCCTTAATTTCCGAATGGGCATTTTCAGTGAAGACGGTCAGGTATGAACATGCCTTCATTGTCTTGTACTATAGTGTAATATTAATTATTTATTACGGCTTTACCTTTCTAAAACACAGTTAAAAATGGACACAATGCATTCCCATTTCTGTCTAGGCCATCCTTGATCCGAAATTGATAAGAAAGGATTATTTCAGGTCTTGGTTTGTTCCTGATGTGGTGGCTGCATTTCCGGTCGACATTATCATTATTATTGTGGTAATTGTATTCATCAGTTAATATCACTCACACTGATCAAATTGTTGAGACTCTTCTTACAGTACAACCATTTCACCACAGGAGCATGTTGATCACGCTGACACTGCTTCACTGGTGGCTTCGAAGTTGGTGCGGATGCTCATGTTTGTGAGGATTCTCAGTTTGATCCGTTTACTCCGTGTGCCAAAGCTTCTGAGATTCTGCTATGAATTGGAAAGTGTAAGTTTCAGCACAACTCACCGTCATGTTTATGCAAGAAATGATCAATGGCAATATGTTCACACTGTACAGCCAGAGGAGAACTTTCCTTACCACAGTCGCTTTTGGCTTGCTCACAGGGGGGAAATAATAAATGAAAGAATACACAATTTGTTATGAAACTTTAAAAGGAACTTCCAAATGATCACATATGGGATTGAAGATATTATTTATGTACAGTAGCACTTTACATTGTTTCAAAGCTTGACTTGAGAAATGCATAAAAATAAAGGCTCCAATAAAAAGGCTGGCATATTCAAAGTTATACAAAGAAGGACTTATTCTCTAGTTTTTCAGAAAACCATCTATGATCCGATCATTTAAAGGGATAGTTCACCCAAAAAAGGAAAGCTTTGTCAATTTACTCACCCTCATGTTGTTCCAAACCTGTATGAGTTTCTTTTTTCTGTTGAACTGAAAAGAAGATATTTTAAACAATGTTGTCCAGACAGTTGGCAGCTCGCCAGCTCCTATTGACTTCCTTGGTATTTTTTTTCCTACTATGGAAGTCAAAGGTTGCCGTCAACTGTCTGGTTACTAACATTCTACAAAATATAATCTTTTGTGTTATAAAAAATAATATAGCAACTCAAGAACCAAACCTAAAATAGTATTTAATAATAAGATAAAAAAAAACAATACTTTAAAAATAAGATATAAAAAATCCTTTTATCATTTTTGTAGTATTTTCTCACATTTTTCCTCCTCTGTCATTACACGATAAACCAGCAAGTAACAGGACATTTTTTGGTTGTATTTTGTACACCCATATTGTTCTATGGATACTTTATGTTTTATTATCTATCATTTTAGGTGTCAGATGTCCAGCTTGAGCAAGGCAAAAAGTTATTCAGGGTTGTCTTCGTGTTCATGATGATGATCCTGATTTGTCACTGGAACACTTGTGTTCACTACTTCATCTCTGTAATGGAAGAGTTTCCAGCTGACAGCTGGGTTGTAAAGGAAAAAATTGTGGTATGTCTCATTTTTTATTGCTTATGCAGGCATTTGTTTGACATGTGTTCAACATGTCTTCCTTTTTTCTGTAAAATTTTGCAGAATGCCTCGATGGGGGAAAAATACTCCTATGCTTCCTTCAGAGCTTTCTCTCGAATGGCCTGGAGATCAACTGACTCACCAACACGTACGCCGCACAACATTCTTTCCACATTAATCCTTTTTTGAGAAATGATAATCAATCTGATAATCAGTCTTTGGTGCAGAAAAATGTCTCCTGAAATCACTTTAATCGGTGGCGTTTGCTAAGGCCAGCATCACTTTTACGAATGTGAAAGTGATAAGACATATGATTTCCATCTGCCAGATGAAAACAAAAGGCAATGGCTTAGCCATGCCATGGCACCCTAGCATTGTGGCATAAGGTTTTGCATGAGCAAACACCACTGAAGAACTGTAAAAAAAAGAAAGAAAAAAAAAGTAGTTTACATTGAACTAAAGTGATTTCTTTTTGTTTTTTTATAGGTTTGGATGAACTGTGGATAGCTATTGTAAGTATGGTGATTGGAATTATCATGTGTTCTGCATTTTTTTCTTCCGTGATCACAGCATTTGGGAGCATGTCTGCAACTGGCAATGCATACAAGGTAAAGGTGAATTTTAAGAGTTAAAACAATTAAAGCTGTTTGTTTATTGTTTGTATTTGTTAAGTTTGTTTATGCAACAAATAAATATAAGGCGGCTCTGATGATATATAAATATTTCAGATAAACCAGCTACAATCCTCCACAATGTTCCAATCGCTGCCCAGAGTGTCTCGCCAACGTATCACTGCCCAGTACAAGTGGCAGTGGGATAAGGAGAACATCCTTGGCATCGTGTCAAAACAGCTCAGAAAGGTTTCTAATTGATTCATAAATATATACTTCAGATAACACACAATAAGTTTTTCTGCTGTTCAAACAAATCATTTGGCTCAATTCTCAAACAGTATTTTTTATAGACCAATTTCGAGTCGACGTCACAGTTACGTCACGGCGCTAGCTGGAGGCAAAACTGGAGGCGGCCAATACGAACCAGCACAGATTCGGCTACATAATAAGGAGCTTAAATTATTATTATTATTATTATTATTATTATTATTAAATGTCATTGTAGAAAACTGTTGACTTTCAATCAGTTTGGGTTTGCCAGTGGGGGACTAGTTCACCACAGATTTCCGTTTAGAGACATGAAGAAGCAGCAGAAAGTTCTCTTTATAGCTTTATTTTCTCCACAACAATTCCATAAAGCTCCAAATAAAGGTTTAGCACATAAGTGCGGATGAGTACAATCGTGATGCCATGAGTATGGGTGTGGTCTAAAACAAAACATAATATATATAACATAACAGAAACACAATTCAATAACAAGATAAATACATACAATGAGATGTAGCAAAAATGCTTCCATGAAACATAAGCAACATCATGTGAATACGTGAACACAAATCAAATCCCTACTTCTATGTGAAGTATCCTTAAACAAGGAGTAGACAAATAGTATCAAACAAACATAAATGCATTTCATCAAACAGTTAACATGAGTTGAAATACATAAACCTACTTACTTGTATAATATACGCACACCTCAATGGCAAGAAAGCACAGAGTCTGTTTGCCAGACTCACCCCATGCAGAGCTATTAACTACAAATGCTAATCAATGCCACCTGCTGGAGATGGGCGGAGCCTAGTGTCTTCACGTTGCTGCTTTGACAGCATGCTCTGACATTGACTGATTGCCAGAGCAAGTCTCACAGACTCAAATACAAATACAGTTACAATGGGCCTTTTTAACAGTCATCTTGTTGGGTGCAAAAATGGATGAAAAATGAATATGCTTTATCTGGAATTTTTATTTCTAGAAAATATTCACATCATTAAAATTGCACCATAATGTCACTCTTTACATTGTCGTCTTCTTGGTGCTGGCTAGGCAGAACTGCGGATCGTACCACACAAGTCTTGTACATGACCATTCAGCACATAGTTATAGGCATCTAAAGATTTATATCCGCTCTGTTTTCCACTCTGTTTCTCTATCAGGTAAAGTTAGGTGTAGAAGTCAGGCCACTCAACCGGAGGTGGCGTTAACATTAATCCTGTCAGATCGTCCATCCATTGACAGCGTGTACAGTACGGGTCAGCCAATCTGGTTTCGTCTGTTAAAATGCACTTTTGCAAATAACAATCGCGGTCCTGGACAGTGAGTGACCTTGCACATTAAGATAAAATCGGATTTTCTCCAGTCATTGTTAAAAAACAAGCTAACAAAACTTGCAAACTAACGTTAGTGAAGCGGCCAGAGTCATCGTTCTGCCACCACCTAAGCTCCGCCCACAAAAAAACATCACCATGTTTACCAACTGAAAATTGGTCTATAGAAATAATTTTTAATAGTGCTATGTTTTCTGTTTCAAAGGTTATTATGACAGACATATGCTCCAACCTGTTGAACAAAGGCACGTTTTTGTCGTTTAACGAAGAATTCACCGAAGCCATCTTGATGAAGTTGGACAAAGAGTTCTTCAATGCAGATGACATCATCATTCATCAGAATGCTCAACCTGACAATATGTTCTTCATTGACTATGGACGGGTGCTTGTGAAGAACGAGGCTTTCCAAATGGAGCTGTGTGGTGGAGATCACTTTGGAGGTGATGTATGAGAAACTTACTGTTGTGTGATTCAGTTGAGAAGTAGTCTCGTGTAGAGTAACGGCATAAAGTCTGGTCCACATTGAACAGGGTTTCCGCGGGGCATTAAAAAGCATTAAAAGTCCTTAAATGGATTTTGCGAAAATTAAGGCCTTAAAAGGCATTACATTTGATTCTTACAGGCATTAAATTTTTTTTATAGTTTTGAAGTTAATTTTATATACATTTATTTGAATATAGCCTTCATAATTAATAATTTGTATTTGCTGTCGCAAAGATGTACATTCGTGTGATAAATACGCGGAACCGGTTTGGTAATTGCTTCCGGCCGGAGCAAAAGTGCCGTGATGCGGAGGTGACGCGGGTCTGTTGTACAGCAGTGGACAGGTCTGAACCTTGAAAAAATGGGAAAGTGCAAATTCCAGCCTAAATGGTTAAAAAAACAAAACTTTTAAGACATGGTTGTAGAGGTCTTCTCGGGTCCTAAAAACTGTCCCCGAACCGAATCGACCCGAATCACTACTTTTGAACCCGATGTGCATAAATTTTTTTTTTTTAAAGAAAAACCCGACCCGAGACAGACCCGATAAAATTAGACCCGAGTCCGACCCGACCAAGCGTGCCGCACAAGCCCTTAAAAGTGAAGCCAAAACGTCTCGATCGCCCCCCGGTGACCGGTCCTAGTATAGGTCATAAGCCTATACTAGCCTATACTAGCCTATACCTCCCCATGTTATTCAACGGGACGTGAGACCAACTAAATAATTAAATTACACTTCACATATCTTTTTTCTAAAGATAGTTTCTGTCATTTACTGTAGTTTCTATCACGTTGATGTAATTTCAAGTGTTTGTTTTTAAAATAAGTTAGTTTTTAGTTAGTTATTTGATGCTATAAAAACGGTGCTGTGACATCATGATTGACAGCTGTGATTGACAGCTTCTCTGTGCGAAGTAGTCACTGAAGTACTAACGGACTTTTTTTCATAATGTTGACTATGTGGTTAGTAGTTGTATTTACCTTATTTTAACGAGGTACTGCAATCGGCAGACATCATTGGAGAGGAACGGAGCAGACAAGGCCACTTAAGAAAAGTCCAGGGGCGTGTGCTTACGATTGATTCAGCGAGAGTGGGGGCGGGGCCTTAATTTCGCGGCTTTACTTCCTGCTCACGACTGCGCATGACTGGTCCCGAAAACGCTACTGCGCAGACTCAAGTTCCAATATGTCAGCGCCATATCGGGACACTGGCGGCTTCAGTTCTCTCCAATGGAAAAGAGCGAAGGGGCGTCGTCCATCTTTTTTTACAGTCTATGGACCCGACCTGACGCCATTTCCTTTAGAACCCGACTGGACCTGAACGTAAACGGCATTTACATTGTGCACAGCCTGCAGCCTTGCGTTTCTCAAAAATGCACTTAACATAGACGCGCAAGTGTAAGCGTGCTGAAGTGCTAAAATGTCAATCACACATCACTGTAACCCATTACGTCCTATAAAATTTGGCACAATGTTATTTACCGGACCATACGATGATTAGAACCACCATTCGTTTTCCCTGACATATTTCTGTTATCGCCTCCATGCTTTTCTGACAGTGTCGCGTATTTTTAAAATTGATTGACAGGCCTGGCTAAACGACAATTCAAATACTTGCATTTAGTCAAACATCCATCCACATGATGGCGCACTAGTTCTTCTTGGCAAAGGGAGGGGTTGGTTTATGTGGAGTGAGCAACTGAGTAAATAAATGCGGAGGACACCGCGCTTATGCTTATAGCCCATTTGCACGTAGAAGCGCGGATTCGCTCTCTCACATAGAAAAAGTGAGAGAACGGTGTCATAAGGTTCGTACACACCGGGACGAATATCGGCGCGCGTTATTCGTCAGCGTTTTTCAACGCGTTTTTTGTGTTCACACCCAAGCGATTTTCGCTGACGATGAGCCGAGTGAACATGCAAATTCATTCCCTGACATTAGATGGCGCCCATTTGCTCTGCAATACCACTCCATAACATTCTCTTTTATCAAGATTTTGGTAGTCGCTGTCGCGTTTGTCATATATTTCTTTATGTTCCGAGACCAGCAGCTCTACATTGATCTTGCCTTGCATCTTCCTCATCTTATTTTTTCCCGGCAGTGTAGACGCTACTTGGCGTATATCTTCTTCGCCGTTACGAATGTGTGCTCGGCAAGACCGTTTTGTGTTTGAGCGCCCCCAAGTTGTGTTTTACTGTAACTTCAGAAGCTCCAGACACGTGAGCAAAAGCGCCAATATCATTGGTCGGATAGTTTTTGACGCGGCGCGTCAAACCAAAAAAACGAACCCGAGGCGTTTTTAAAAAAATGACGCTTTTACGCGTGGCGTTTTTCGTGTCGGTGTGCACACTCACATTGGCGCCCTTTGTTTAGTCACGAGGCGTTAAACGTCGGCGAATATCGCGCGTGAAATTCGTCCCGGTGTGAACAGGCCTATAGAGTTGTTTTAAATACTGCAATTTTAAATGCCCAACATAGTTTAAAAGAATTCGGGTCTTCTCGGGTCCATTTGGAAAAGGCATATTTTTTTTAAAATTACCCGAGACCCGAGGCCACTAATACCGAACCCGACCCGTGTCCGAGACACTCGTCGGAGTTTTGGACCCGAACCCGCTCGGGTCTCGGGTCGGACCTCGGGTTTTCGGATCCAAGTGGACCCGTGAAGACCTCTACATGGTTGCAGCCCGTTAGTGGTAAAAATGATGAAGGATTGTGCGGCGTTTTTAAACAAGCATTTAAGTTGGGGACAATGGGAATCAGCGCCGTAAAATCCCATATGCAGTGTGACGGCCACAAATCTGCGTTAGATTTAAATAGTACATTGTGTTTAATTTGTCGTTTAATGAGATCTAATATACTGTATGTTGCTAGTAGCGAGAATAGACCCGACTGTTACACGCATGCACTTTAATGGTCCAGTAGCAGAACTTTTGCCAAGCATGTCAGAGGTTTTGGGTTCTAATCCGCAGTAAGAAGTATATATTTTTTCCCTCATCAAAACCGATTGTTTCTTAGTGGTTGTATATCAAGCACTGACATGTTTGTGTGCATTATGTTTTGTGATTTCACCGTAACAAAAAGAGAGAAAAAGAGTAACGGATTGAAGCGCGCATCCGAGAGAAGAAGTGTTGTGCACGAGCCGCAACAGAACGCAGGCAAAGAACGTATATTGTTCTTCTATACTCTTTGACGCAGGGCTCTCAAGTGTCACGCATTGAGCGTGACTGACAGTCACTCATTTCGGTCTTTTGTCACGCACTCCCGCCACACATTGTATTTCTCACGCTAAAAAACTATTTATAATATATTGAATATGCCGCAGCGCCCCAAATGTCTCTGGGCGCGCCGCTATCACTATGGAACCGACAGGAATCAAGCGCGTCTCCGAGTCCCCCTGAGTTGTTGCTAGTCGAGCCTGCCACTTATCAGCCAATCAAAAAAAAGAAAGGGTCTACACATTAGCCAATTAGAAAATAGCACTATTGTATCTGGGTAAGATTCAAGATAAGTCATGATCTCCTGTTTTAATGTTACAAAAAATTCACAACTTGTTTGACACAAACAATAGCAACTTGATTGCTGTTAGAGAAACGTTTCCCAGATAATTAGCATCAGTTTTTTATGAGTGTCTGTAACTTAGACAACAGTTTTACAGCCTGTTCACTGACAACACCTGCTCAGAACAAGTAGTCTAGGCCTAGTCATATTTTCGTTATCACACGATGACTGACATATTGTCACATTATAAACATCTCTCAAGCCAAATAGGCTTAATAATTGTATAAGCACTAAATAAAGTGTATTGCATAGTCGATGTTATAGGTCACTTTTAAAATCATGTCATATTTTATAATTATATCCGGGCCATGGATGCATTAATCATTGCATCTGTCTTTCACAGATGTCAGGTAAAAAGCAATTAAGCATCCTCTCATTCGCCCTGAGAGGAAAGCCCCCTAAAAAGGCCAGGTTAGAGGATTCTGGCCCAGAGAGGGTGGCGAACAGGGTAGGCCCATTAGAGGAGGAGACGGTGCGGGTAGAAGAGGAAGAGAATAAATACTTTGTATTTGGTTGAATTGTCAGTGCCATGTGTCAAATCTTCTCTTTTGCAAGTGTGAGCAATTATTAATAACAGCAACAAAAACACTAATAATAGTATTACTAATGAAACACCACCATTCCTGCGACCCGTCCTATATGCCGCGAGATGTTTAAAAAATGGTGGGGACACAATCGACATGTCCCACCCGCAAATTACACCTATGTGTTCCAGAAAAAAAGAGAAAGAATTTATATATATATATATATATATATATATATATATACACACTCACCGGCCACTTTATTAGGTACACCTGTCCAACTGCTCGTTAACACTTAATTTCTAAGCAGCCAATCACATGGCGGCAACTCAGTGCATTTAGGCATGTAGACATGGTCAAGACAATCTCCTGCAGTTCAAACCGAGCATCAGTATGGGGAAGAAAGTTGATTTGAGTGACTTTGAACGTGGCATGATTGTTGGTGCCAGAAGGGCTGGTCTGAGTATTTCAGAAACTGCTAATCTACTGGGATTTTCACGCACAACCATCTCTAGGGTTTACAGAGAATGGTCCGAAAAAGAAAAAACATCCAGTGAGCGGCAGTTCTGTGGGCGGAAATGCCTTGTTGATGCCAGAGGTCAGAGGAGAATGGCCAGACTGGTTCGAGCTGATAGAAGGGCAACAGTGACTGAAATAACCACTCGTTACAACCGAGGTATGCAGCAAAGCATTTGTGAAGCCACAACACGCACAACCTTGAGGCGGATGGGCTACAACAGCAGAAGACTCCACCGGGTACCACTCATCTCCACTACAAATAGGAAAAAGAGGCTACAATTTGCAAGAGCTCACCAAAATTGAACAGTTGAAGACTGGAAAAATGTTGCCTGGTCTGATGAGTCTCGATTTCTGTTGAGACATTCAGATGTTAGAGTCAGAATTTGGCGTAAACAGAATGAGAACATGGAACCATCATGCCTTGTTACCACTGTGCAGGCTGGTGGTGGTGGTGTAATGGTGTGGGGGATGTTTTCCTGGCACACTTTAGGCCCCTTAGTGCCAATTGGGCATCGTTTAAATGCCACGGCCTACCTGAGCATTGTTTCTGACCATGTCCATCCCTTTATGGCCACCATGTACCCATCCTCTGATGGCTACTTCCACCATGTCACAAAGCTCTAATCATTTCAAATTGGTTTCTTGAACATGACAATGAGTTCACTGTACTAAAATGGCCTCCACAGTCACCAGATCTCAACCCAATAGAGCATCTTTGGGATGTGGTGGAACGGGAGATTCGCATCATGGATGTGCAGCCGACAAATCTGCGGCAACTGTGTGATGCCATCATGTCAATATGGACCAAACTCCCTGAGGAATGCTTCCAGCACCTTGTTGAATCTATGCCACGAAGAATTGAGGCAGTTCTGAAGGCAAAAGGGGGTCCAACCCGTTACTAGCATGGGGTACCTAATAAAGTGGCCGGTGAGTGTATATGTGGTTAGTCTTGGGTCGTATATGGCATTAAAACAGTTTAAAATGGCATTAAAAAGGCATTAAATTTAATTTGAAGATACCTGTAGAAACCCTGTTGAAGTGCTAGTCAAGTCAAATTTAGCGCTTTTCAAATACACATTGTTTCAAAGCAGCTTTACAGAAAATCATGTTAATGTTTATAATATCTGAATTTCTAATATATAATTTTTAATATATAATTAGTCTCAGCTGCCTGATTTTTATATATATATATACATATACAAACACACATAATATATATATATATGTTAAAAAGTATGCTATTTTTAAGAAACCCGAAAACGCTTTGTAATCACGCCATGTCGTACGAGGCTCAAGTGGAAACATAACTGGAACCATTACTTACCGTTCTTAGAACTATTCGTCTCGACGGTGGAAAAGCTGCTTTTGTTTCATATCAAGAGGAACCTCTTGTCTGTCGCCACGTTGTCAGTGTCCTCTTTACTCCGCAATGTTTATCACTGCATGAGAAAACAGAGGTGTGTTATGAGAGCGTGAGAACAGCGTCAATTACACGAGTTTCACACTCAAAAATGCTCAAAATTAGATTGCAGAGCTTGCCAGATCAAGAAAATGTTTTCCCAGTTTTGTGTGCAGTATTGATCAGATGGTCAGTCAGATAATCTTTGCTGTGAAACTCCAATGTGTTTTAAACAACCAGCCTCATACTCACCATTTTAAGAAGTTTTGTGTTTCTGCAGAGATCAGCTTCCTGTTTGGTGGAAGGCAGTTGGCCAAAGTTTCTGCTCTGACCACCTGCAGCCTTTTCACCCTGTCATTACAAGAGTTTCAGGAACTTGAGAAGGAGTTCCCACATGTTGTGAACGAACTAAGGGGAGCAGCTGAAAAGCTGAAAAATGATCTAGAAAGTAAGTCTTGCTGCTACATTATGATTTGCTTTGTTTGTACGGTCATCGGGAGGCAGGGGACATGTTCGGTTCTAAGTTTTGTCATGGCCATGACACTTTAACTTGTGGGAACGTGATAAAAAGTGGTGGCCACGAGATTTTGTCAAGGTAGCGCATCCTTATGTCGTGGCCACACAATGTAAAGTTAAATGCGCAAACAACCTGTGCGACCATTGCAACCCTTTAATTATCAGAAATGGATAGGACTATAATAATATTTATATTTTGACAAAATAAGGGCTATTATATTGAATGCAATGTTGCCTTTAGACTGCATTTGAATTAAGTTTATTATCAATAAATGATAAAATAATATGAACATAAAATAATGCAGGCCTAAAAGAAAACATTTTAATCCATCCCATCTCACAGCCTCTTAAATCCATTCAATGATCATGTCTTTATTTATTAATATTATTATTATTATTATGGTTGCACAGGTTGTTTACGCATTTAACTCGTGGCCATGTTCTCTCAAAGTAGGATAACAAATAATGATGTCGTCACCTCGAAAACATGATCTTGTGGCCACGACTTACCACGTTCCCACGAGTTAATATGACATTTCCAAAAATGAGAATTCTGTCAGTAATTACTCACCCTCATGTTATGGACAGGACATGGGCATGGCAATGGCGGGCCTGGGCCGCGGAGCGTGGGAGGACCTGGGTGGGCCGTGGAGCATGGACAGCGCCGGCAGTGCTGGGTCGGATCCGACAGTTCAGGGGGCCAGGGAGGCACTTAATCAGGTACATGTCTGTATATAGTTTTCCTCCTATAGAGCCTATTATAAAGAAAAAGATTGATGTTAATGCAGTAAGACGGTGATATTAAAAGTCAGTAGCCTATACACCTTATTGAACATGCGACGCGCTATTGCACGTTTGCGTTTTATAATGGTTTTCTATGGGTGTTGTTCATAATCTTATTTAATCTGTTTGCCTCTACAAAGTATGCTTTATTAATAAGGTAGGCCTATATTGTGTACTAAATTTGGTGCTTCAATATCATTTTCTTAATCCACATTAAGCGTAAATGGGGAAGAACGCTTTGTTACGCTGCCGTTGTCTGTTTTAGCAGACTACTGCCATCTAGTGGTAGCAGGTTTTCTCAGACAGTGTGTGTGGATCGTTCAATGCTAAACTGGCGAAATGAAAGTCTCAAAATCCAAATGAATCAAATAGGATCGACTCAGAAACGAGTCAATGAATGCACACGTGTCACAAAAGAACATCTTACTTGTTGCATGCACAAATTCTGACCTACAATAATACAAAATCGAGGTTTTGTATTAACAACTGTCTCTATTTGTTCAAAACGCTGCACATTCATGTGATTATGGATTTTGCACACACAATCGTATTGTATTAGTTCAAATGTACTGACGCACATTTGTCGATTTGTCAAATAGATGGGTAGTTGTGCACACATTAATAATCAGCACCAGGCCTATTCATTTGTAGTTGTTTGTGTGTGGGTTGTGAAATGGGTAACGCTTTCTTTTACAGTCCTGTTACCCATGTACTTACTATGTACTTATTATAGTAATTATAATTACTGGGTAATAACTAGGTACTAACCCTGAACCTACCCCTAAACCTACCCCTAACCCATGTACTTACCTTATATTAACCAGTACTTTCTAGGTAAGTACACTGTAAGTACACGTAAGTACTGTACTGTAAAAGGAAGCGTTACCGTGAAATGCTTAAAAAATCCAAATGAATCAAATGAGATTGACTCAGAAAAGACGTCAATGAATGCACGCGTCACCTGCTCATCACACATGCACATCTTCTATGTTGCATGCGCAAATTATGATACACTAATACAAAAGAAAACATTTGTATTCACAAAAAAAATTGCTACACATTCATTCAATTTTGAATTTTGCATTCACAAGTTGAAAGGCATTTGGTTGTGGATAGTAAAACTTATCTGCAACATTTATCAAGTTCATGGATAATTGTGCTTCCACGTGTTAATCATTTTGATACTATATTCATCCCATACCCTACAAGTACCAGTAACAGAAAAAAATTCCCTTCTGTTTTTAGTGGTGAGAAGTGGGCCCATTCCTGGCAGCCAAAGAATTCTCTTCAAATGAATGAAAATAAATAAAATGTATATTTTGAATTCCATTTGGGTTTCTGCTTATTTATTACATTGTTTCTGTGCAGCATTTTAAGTCAAATCTCATTTTTCTGTAGTGGTGAAAAGGTACTTGGAAAATCTCCAATAAATGCGACACATGGAGTTTATTCTCAAGTAGGCTTAAATAGAAATGTTCTTATTCCAACCCAATCTCCTTTTCAGATGTTCTTCAGAAACAAGTTTTAATATTTCATTATTATACATTGCACTATATGTTAGTTTTTTACAGTTGACATCACTTGATTTCATGTTTTGTTGTCTGTGCTTTTCAAGTTAACTCAAGTTAACCTCACAGCCCACTGTTCAGAAATACAGCCTTACGGCTTGTTTGACAATTGTGAAGCTCGAATATGAAGTTCAACAAGTAAGACTGACCATCTTCATACTCATTACATCACCTCTATTACATTCTCTCTGCCGCTCTCGCTCTCTTCCACTCCAAACTCATCAGCTGACTGTGGGCGTTTTACTACTTCAACCAATCGTATTTTCGTCTCAACCCTTGAGCCAATCGTGTCATAGTTGTTAAAGTTTAAAGCTGTTCCTTTCTCTGCTGCTGTCAGTTGTCATTTCAGGCAAATCAATGTGGCCCTCTTCCACCCCATTCACCTCCAGTCCTCATCGCATTCAGCTCCCAGGGGTCCCTCCACTGTGCTCATCAGGAGCTGAGCTCCACATTCATCCAGATCTCAGCATTGCTACTCACCCCTTCACCACCGCCAGTGTCATATCATGCATTTATTTACACCTTTAAAATAATGAAGTCTTGATGTGGTCTAATTGCCAAAGACGATATAGTTCAACTTGTTATGCATCTTGTCAATCATTTTTTTTTATCACTCTTTAAGCCTCTAGTGAATAATTAAGCAATAAATAAAAGTGGTGTATTTTCACTTGTATTTTTGTGAAAAACAGGAATTCTCTCTACACTATTGAAGAGAAAACTGTAAAAGGAAAAGTGCATCCACAGTTAGTTTAAAAACTGCTAGCTTGTTTAAAGACTTAAATTAGCTTTACACAATTCCATCCTTTAGAGACCCCAAGGTCTCTTCCTGTTTTTTTTCAGTCCAGGATCCTGGGTCAATGGAGCTTGTAATGTGGCATTCCAAAGAAAACGTCTCGGTTTACTGTTGTAACCCTTGTTCCCTGAGTAGGGAACGAGATGCTGCGTCGATACTCAACACTTTGGGGAATGCCTTCGGCATGATGCGTCTGAAGTCTGTAGTGGAACTACTCCAATCTTGATTGGTGCTATGTCTTTCGTCACTCGTGACATTGCATGTGACGGTGATCCGGAAGCTATAAAAGGACACCGGAGCATTAGTCCAGTCATTTTATGAAAAAAGGTTGAACAAATTGCAACAGAAGCAAACTCAACTGATTTTGTATCCTCAATATGTCCTGAGTAAGTGAAAAAAAGCCCCGAAGAATCCCATTAGGGGAACGTTTCGAAAAAGACCAAATATATCCCATTCATACGCCTATTCATTCTTTTTCACGTGAAAAGGGTAAAAATTTTAACCTTTAGATATCACCATGAAAATCAGTGAGTTGATTACTGTAGTTCAGTAGTTGATTGACTACTCACATCAAGACAAACAAAAAATGTATTACAAGTTTTTTGAAATTGTTTGTTAACATGGACAAACGGTGCATAATTTAATTACGTATTAGCTAATTTGCATAATTACCCAAACAGATCTAAACATTGGGTATAGCAGGTGAAAATGTTTTTTTGAATCTTGTTGACATATAACAGTAAAAGACTTAATGTTAAGGTCTGAATGGAACCCATTTATGCTACCCATGAACATTTATACAGGAATAAGTACTTTAGAAACCAGCCTTTAATTATTATTGCAGAGATGGGGTTTGGGCATTGATTGTGTACGTAATTAGATTTTTTGATCCAGACACTTTTTTTTTATGTCACCTACCTTTTGTCTTCTGCATTCTCCTTACCCATGTCTCCTGTTCTTCCCTCAGACTCATCCCCCAGAAACAGTCCAACTGACCCAGCCCCAAACCCCATCTCTGCCATAATAATTAATAAAGGCTGGTTTCTAAAGTACTTCTTCCTGCATTAAAGGCACACTATGCAGGAATTCCGTTTTTGTCAAACAGCGACCCCTAGAGTCGCTGTGTAGTACTTGTATTTAACGTTACTGTCGTAAATGCCACTCACGCAAGCGTCTGCCATAGACTGGTCTCTGCACTCACGGCCTGATACCCCTTTGAAGCTGTTATATTAAGGTACAAATCTTGCATAGTGTGCCTTTAAATAAGAGATCTAGCGCTAAAATGTGTTTTTGAACTCAACCTGAGCGCTCGTGCCCACTGCTATCAGTGTCATGGATACACATAGTGTCTCTTGTGGCGGCGCGCGCGCAGTCTTCACTCGGACGTGCTCTTCAATCTATCGCCGTTGCCGAGACTATATTCATTCCGGTGAAATCAGAAAATAAAATGCACACAAACTTAGAAAGATTTACTTACTAGTCCATCAACAAGATCGCCAGGTCAGCATCACTGTTGCATCCAGTGCTGCTTTTTAGCTCGCGCCAACGAGTGAAAGCCCGACCGAGTGGGACTCTTGTCCGGTTCCTCACGCGGTCAGATTCTCTTTTCCTTTTCCTAGTCTCTTCCGACCGCGTTTTCTTTGCTTTTTCCATCGTCGAGTATCACGTCTGAAATGCGCGCAAGTGTCTTCGTGCTTCAAATGTTGTTGTTCATGTGTGTGACATCGTTGCCGTAAATCATGTCGTCATTCTCGCGAGATTTGTCGGGGGCGCTCCTCTCAAACTTGCATTGCTGGTTTTCCCAGCGGCGTCCCCCCAAGCTTTACTATCAGGATGATTCGCCCTACTACGAGTTTGTTTACCACCGAAATGACTTTGAAGCTGTTATATTACGGTACAATTCTTGCATAGTGTGCCTTTAATGTTCATGAGTAGCCTAAATGGGTTCCATTAGTAAATTCCAACAGTAAATAGTTTACTGTTATATGTCAACAAAATTCTACAAGACATTTTCACCTGCTATATACCCAATATTTAGATCTGTTTGGGTATTTATGCAAATTAGCACATATGTAATTAGATTATGCACCATTTGTCCATGTTAACAAACAATTGCAAAAAACTTGTAATACATTTTTTGTTTGTCTTGATGTAAGTAATCAACTTTTTACCCTTTTCACGTGAGAAAAAGAATGAACAGGCGTATGAATGGGATATATTTGGGTCTTTTTCTAAACTTTCCCCTAATGGGATTCTTCGGGGCTTTTTTTTCCTCACTCCTTACTTTTACTTTTCCTTTCGGGCAGCAGTGGCTCAGTGGTTCATGTAGGTGTTCATCTACAAACCAGAAGGTTGGTGGTTCAATCCCCGGTTCCACCTGACCAAGTGTCGAGGTGTCCATGAGCTAGACACCTAACCCCAGCTGCTCCCGAGCTGGATGGCGCCTTGTATAATGGCTGACACCGCCGTCGGTGTATGAATGAATGGGTGAATGTGAGGCAAAATGTCAAGCTTTGGTGGCCATTGGGTCTGTGAAAGCGCTATATAAATGCAGTCCATTTACTCAGGACAT